AAAAAAGAATGATCTTTGCGTGAGCCGTGAGCATCTGTCTGCTGTAGCGGTGTAGACCTGTAATGTCAATGTCCACTGCAGCGCACAGGTTTGGGTAAGAACACTTCCTCTGAACCATATGATTGAACCGAATAGCACATTGTTGCAGTCTTTCAGTCATTGTAGCTCTGCGCAAAGCTTTGTAGGCGACGCCAACACCCAAGTACTTTTTATTTTGTTGTATTGGAATCTCATATGGTTGATTCTGTGGACCCCGAAAGCAAAGCACTTGATGATGGATTTTCTGCGAGACCTGGCTTCACAAGGACCCATGTATGTATCCCACGTATTGGTGGCCTCTAAACCCTGTTGTTGAAGCAGGTCTTCAAAGATCTTCTTGCGCAAGGGGCCTGTCTTCCGTCCTGCAGCCGTGTGGAAATCTGACCGGCCAACGCAATGCGGAACATGTTGTAGCAGCGTTGTGTTCCAGTCCCCGCCATGATCAAAACATTTCTGTTTGGTAGTCCAAAAGGTAGTCCAAAAGGTCTGACGTCGGGCAAGATTATCTGGGCCCTGATCACGCCAAACATACTGGTAAGCATTGACAACGTCGAGATTGGTATGCTGGAGTTACATTCGTATATGCATCAGTCTGCCTGAAGTGAGCGATCGCCAGGCCAATCTGTCTGACGAGCAAAGGGTCTTTTTTGACCATGGTGAGCAACCCGCCAGATTGTCCTGCGCATGGTGAACAAAGAAGTATTGATCGTCTTGCCATTCACCATCAAAGGTCCAGTGGGGGTCCTGAAGACAGATGATGTCAATGTGTTGATGACAAAGCCAACTCCTGAGAATGTCCAGTTTGTGTAGGCCAAGTGCTCCTACGTTCCAGGACACGCATGTCAGTCTGTTGCGTCGTGCCTTTGAGGGTGGGGGTGGCGGCTGATTTGGACAATTGGGAGTCCTCAACAGTGTTAGCTGCTGCTCATTCGGTGGTGTAAAGATTCCAAGTTCTTGTGGGGAGAAATGTCTCCCCTTGTACCAGGTGTGTCCATGAAGAATAGCCCTTTTTTTGCCTTCAGGAAGGCTTTTTTCCGGCCAAGAAACTAATTTGCCATAGTGCTGGAGTAGGAGTTGTGTGGTCCATTGCCACAAGGCTTCGTCCTCTGTGGTGAAGGGGTGATTGAAGTCAGCTGGACTCCTTCAGCTTGTGTGGCCAAGCTGACACCCTTGGCCTTCCACCCAGGTGCTGAGGCTCTCATGATGTCGAGCAAATCCCAAACCTGAGTGGCCAGGGAGTTGGGACCCTGGTGAGTGCTCGTGCGTGGCCTCAAACATGAAGAGCTCAGCTTCGATGCCCTGGCACGTTGCTTGAAGGTAGAAGTTCCGTCCTGGTAGTTGTAGATCTGCAGAAGGAGGGTCAGGGAATTGACCGGGAAGTGCGTGATGGTCGGCAAAAAGCGCAAGCAATTAGGTAATCGAGCTGGATCTGCACGTAGACTGGTGTAGTGCCGGTAATCGGTGCTCACAGTGATCGAGGTGTGGGACTTCTGCTTGCCCATGGGAGTGATCACACGCGAGCGCACTAGCCCTCGGCAAAACGGGCGTGGGCCTGAGCACTCATAGCCCTTATCATCATCATCATCATCATCATCAACAACAACAACAACAACATCAGCAGCATCACCATCACTATCACCATCATACAGGTGCACAGATGCCGGAGATGCACCTGCTAGAACACACCTGCATAGATAGTGGTGTTTGGGTACAGGCAGGTCTTGAGATACAGATCTTGGGATACAGGTGTGGAAAACGGGTGTTGAGATACAAGGGTTGAGATACATGTGTTGAGATACAGGTGTAGAGATTCAGGTATTGAGATACAGGTGAAGACATCTACAAAACCCACCTACACAACTACAAGCCTTTTCCCCCCGCCAGCATTGCAGCACTCCTGCTGCAGGATGTCGGGGATGCCATCCCGGTTCCTGTCCACGCCCTCAACATAGACATCTGCTTGACCTCGCGGCTTGAGGTCCAGGAAAACAACAAGGTGGGCTTGCTTTACTAGGGCCTTCGAGACCAGCCTTGTTAAAGGGGCCCAAGTCCACCTTTTTTCCTTTTCGTCGTTCCAATTCACCCAGAACACCCTGCGCTCCCCCTGCCAAAGAATGGGCAGTGATTACTGAGACGCAGGCCCAGCTGCAATGCAAAGAACATTGGCATCACTAAACTGCTGATGCGAGGGATGCTCATATCGAATCATCCACATTACATGTTTAAATCCTAGACAAGGACGATGCAAACGATGGACCAGGCTCATGGAATCTTGATTCTCGACAAGCCCTTAGCATCTGAGAGAGGAAGTAAAATTGACAAGTTGTTGTTTCTTTTCTATGTGCTCCATCATGTGGTTCTTTGTCAACGCATTGTGCAATCGATTTTGGGTATTTGGCATTTGGCATGGGGGTAGCCGCGGTCATCTGGTTCACACTGAGCTTCCAGGCCGTCCTGGTTCAGGTCGAGGCCCACCCTGGCCATCGGTTCCTGACTTCTGTAGTCGTACAAACAGCTCTCGCAAGTCACCAACCATTCGTATCAAAGAGTTGGGGGAAACCGCACAAATCATGCATAGTGTGTGCAAGTAAGCTCTTGTTCGTCTGTGATTTCGTACCCAAATGAACCAACCCTAAGCCTGGAATACAAGCTATTTCAAAGCCAAGCTCTTGGGATTTTCTAGACGAACCTCTTGGGAGAAACTTTGAGGACTGCCACAAAGATCTCACAAAGGCTTGCACAGCTCCAACCCAGCCAAGGTACCACAGCCACAGGCCTTAAGAGATTGGAAATCAATGCGGTCCCAGCTCACATCTGGAACCAACCACCCAAACGAAGTTACTCAACAAGTGCAATGAAAGGCTGTCACCCTTGGACATTGATGGTCATGGTTTGACAATTGAGCACAGGGACCTGAACATTCACAAATCAGTCTTGCTGCATGATCACAGCTTCCAAAACTAAGGCCGCCCTTGCTTGATCAATTACAGGCTTAGGGTCAATTTGGATAGACGCAGGAAACGCCTCGCTGCTGCAAGATCGGGATCAGTCCAAAATTGACAACAAGAATCAGAGGTGTGATTTTGTTCCTCTCAGTTCATCTCCCATCTGTCAACGTCTCCAGCTCTCCACCAGGCATTCCAGCTCCATAAGCAGGCTAGGACCGGGAGCGCGGCCGGGCAGGTTGTGGCAAGTTGTTTGGGCACTGTGTGGCTTTCAACCACATTGGGTGCTTCGATGTGCTTTGAAAACCACCTTGCGATCTTTAAAGAAACGAAATAAGAATGTAAGTACCCCCTTGTTGTTAAGGGATCCTTACCTTCTTCTTTTCCTTTCTGTGTGTTCTTTATTTTTTAATTGAAAAGCTTGCCTTGAAGAAACTCATTTATATGACTTCCAAGAGACACATCTCAATAATTCAAGGCTCAAGACTTCTGAGGGCTCGCATGTCTCCAAGGCCCCAGGATGCCCTGGGCGTATCGAGCCATACAGCCTCATTAGCGACTCATGTGGGGACTCCGTGCACAGGCTTGGTAGTGGCTTGGTGCGATCAGCCCCAGTTATTGGCTTGAGCCAAAGCTATTGGCTTGACATACATTGTGCAGTGGGTAGGCAAGCTGAGAGGCGAAAAGGATGAAGAGGGTCAATGTTTTTGAGGGGAAGGAACGTCAAGAAGGCTTGAGACTAGCGTTTGGAGCCAGTCAAGCTAGATATGATGTGTGTATTTAATCTGATAAAAATCACGAGCTTTGGAAGTGCCAAGCTGATTCTCTTCGCCCATCTGTTTTGGGTCGCCAGCAGCATAGCACTTCGGTCTGGGTAGTGGCCCATAACGGATGCCCCAGCGCACCTTGGGAGCAACTGCTCTCAAGCAATGATCGAAGCAAGTGGCAGCATAACTTGTGGCATGCACTCACTCTGAGGCGACAATCCTTTTCACGCGTAACAAGAAAAGAGCAGATGTCAGTTCCGAAAGGCACGGGCTCCTGATGCTGACCGACTAAATGACAGAAGCCTCCAAATACTGCTCAGACAATCAGGATCTTGCCTTACCGCTTAAAAACCATGTGACATATGGACCAAAAATTGTAAGTTCTATAATACCTCAAGCTTCCGATGCCTCTGGAAACCTTTGAGAGTCATGTGTCTAATCACAAATCCCTCCGTCACAAAGCTGAAGAGTGGCCCAGATTAGCAAAACTTGCAGTCTCAATTTTTGATATGTCGGCTGAATAGCAAGTAGGGTCAAGATTGAGGGATTGTCTGCTGCGCCCTGGCCATGGATGGCCCCAAACAGAGTGCCACACATTAGATCAGGCCCTGCCGCCGCAAGTCCTGATCCAACTTCTTGGGTCCGGCTCAGTGGCTGAAGGAGAAGAAATGCTCAATTGGACATGCGACGTAAAAAAACAGGTAGAGTCTAGACAAGTACAGACAAGTCTAGAGATAGTGATCGCCAAGCGCTCTCATCCAACCGTCAGAGAGGGTGAAGCAGGTGATGCTTGATAAAACTGGCATGTGAAAAATCTACCTGCAAAGCACATCGCTCCTCAAAGGCCCTCTGGCTCATCACATTGCCCTGGATGTCCTCGCACTCGACATCCTGGCCATGTCGAAGCAAAGCCGCCAAGCCATGTCTCACCATGTCTGTCTTGACAGATTTTGCCCTGATGGGCATACCTTTGGCAACTTCGTTTCGGACTGTCTAATTGCCTTACAAATGTGTTTGGCTCATCCATCCTCAGGCTACTGCAGCAAGTGGCTTCTGGGCCGAATCTTTGCTATAATAGGTTACACAACTCTCCCTAAAAAGCAGTTTTGTTGCCAAATAATGCGGCGCCTATTAAAAGCATAGTGTCTCCACTATTGGCACCAATATGAGGTTCTAGTCACATTCCAACCCAATCTTTTAAGAATCTTTAAAATAAGTGAGGCGTCACTATTCGATCACGCATCGTCGCTCAGCCACCGTCCGTGCTTCCACTTCGCAAGTGACCGCAAGTGGCCTGCTCAGGCCGGAAGGTCTGTTCCTCTGCATCACGCTTCAGCTTTTCGTAGAGCGTGATGGCTTCCTGGCGATGTTGCAAGGAACCTTCCGCACCAAGACTGCGTCCAAAGGGAAAGGCAAATGATAAGAACACAAATTCATGATAGGAATGCGCTTGACTCTTGACGGTTCTAGCACCCTCTCTATGGGGATTTTGACGATCACAACTTGCCAAACCCCAAGTTAAACCTCTGGCACCTGGCACCGTAAGCAATGTTTTAGAAGTCCATCGTGCTCTCATCATTTTCGGATCCCTGCCCACAGTTTCCATCACTGCGGATCCCAGCGCACCTCAATCTTGGTGATTTCCTTGAAGTGTGCCGTGTTGGGAATCTTGAGACATCGCATGCCGAAGGCGTGTCTCCACTCCTGAACGGATAAACGAGATACAAAAGGGCACATTTCACCGTCCAGATTGTGGAGCACACCCGAAAGGCATTTGGGCGACGACAATGAGGATTGTGGATACTCGAGACATTGTCGGCGATCAAAATGGGTCAAAAAAATAGTTTGAACAAAATGAAGATAAAGAAAAAACATACACCGCCGGGGAAAAGGATGGCACAATTTGTCCAATGACCAGTGGTTAACGGCCTAAAGGTAGATTGCGCCAGGTGTGCTCCACCTGAACGCCAAAATAACCTATTGATTGCGCAATTCAGCCTTTTCTGGCCGCAAATATAGCGAGAGCGGCTTGCAAGACACGCTGCCAAAAATGGGTCATAGAAGGCGCAATCGGAGGTAGTGTGGTAAAATAAAGATGGCTCAAAAAGAAAACTTTCGCCATCTACTCCCACCCCGGAGTATGCCAAAAAAAGGGTTAGCCTTACTGTACCTTCCTGTGTTCCTTTCTGCTTTTTCTAGTGAAAGCCTCTGCATCATTCCACACAGGCAGCCAGTCTGAGCAACCACACCTGGAAGTGCCTCTCGAAGGCCCGACGACCCCAATAGGAATAGTTACCACCTCAGGTTGTGCTCAACCGAAGGGGATCCGAAGGCCAGTAAAGACCAGGACGGAAGGAATGTGCATTCCATGGGGTTGCGGGAAAAACCGGGATGACTTTCCATTTCATCGTCCCCGGACAGCCTGTGGCCGTGAAAACAAGGTCTGTATTTGATTTTTGGAAAGTTTGGTCGGGAAAAGTGGTCGCATGAACCACTAGGAAGTGAAGAAGCCACCGGCATGATGTGGGGCGTGGTATATCAGATTGAGAACAATTACACCAGCATAGACCCCAGGTAGCAAAAACATGCAAAATATTTTTCTGGACTGCGCCCTGCATCGGCAGCAGCTCCAAAGCACACACAGGAAACTTTTTTACACTTAGAGGAAAAATGTGCAAAGAGCGTGTGCCATCCATGGGATGCTGTACTTCGACTCATAACATGGTTTGTGAATCTGGTCTCAGTCATGAGGGAAGAAAGTCCAAAAGCAACGTCACTGAGAACGTTTGGCTACCGAAAGCCTTCTAAACCAGGATGCCAAAAGGCTACCCAGCACCAACAGCACTGGCAACCCACCCAGCCAGCATGACACACTTTCAAATAGCGGCGCGCCTTCGACATCCGCTTCCAAAACAACATGTTGTCAAACTCTAAAGTTACATCATCTTCAGGCACTAAGGCATGCGGATTTTCACGCAAAGCTCCATCAACCACATCCACAGCTTTGGAATGAGAGCCGAGAGCATGTGCAACCATGTTGGCTCCAAAACTCAACTGCCCCGCAGTTCGCCAGCTTTTTCCAAGCACCCTGTCTCCACCACGCGCACAGCCAGCACCAGCACCCTGTCTCCGCCAGCACCCAGCACCAGCACCCTGTTTCCACCCGCACACAGCCAGCTCACAGCACCGGCACCCTGTCTCCCGAGGTGTTATAGTTCGGAAGTCTTCTGTCCTGCCGTTTGGTCAACCAGCAATTCCTTCTAGGTCCAAAATGATCTTCATGGTGTAGGTGATGTCACCAAATTATGGTGCATCTTTTGCATCACCAACTCACCAAAAGTAGCTTCCACCACAAATATAAACTTTGCTCCTGCGGGCCCTGAACTCACTTCGTTCGCAGAAACTAAATTAAGCCTACCCATCCGCTGGCTTTTGCACTAAAGGGGCCAATCCTACAGCGCCACCCTGCGCCAGGATGATAGCTGAATAGGTCCTATCTATTTGGAGTAGCCTCTGAGTATGTTTTCCGGCACGAAAGCTGTTGATGTCCAGAAAGTGCACGTTCCTTCGCCACAGACGTCCTGCACCCTCCCAAAAAGCACAACCTCTGTTTCCTCGGCCCCTAGCAAATTTCGCACTTGTACTCGATGCCTCGGCTCAATGAATCGCTCCAACCCAACAGAATACAGACCTGCCTCATGAGATGCCTGTTTTCTACAGTACTGTATGTTCTTTTCACAAAGTGCTGCAAGAAGCGTGTGTGGTGAAGCGTGGGTGGTAGCTAACTATGCAAGCCGTTTAGCTTTTAGAACGAATCTTCGGGAAAGGATATGCTCATGTCCGCACACCTTTCATCCCTGACAAACACAAATGCCATCTGCCACACACACCGATCTGCCATTTAGACAAGTGGCCCATGCCGTGGAGCTTGTAAAGCCAAAACGGAATAGGCTTTCCATCCCAGCCTGCACCAAAATCGGGCGACATATCATATCCTCATCAGCCCTGAGAAAATGGTGGGCCTCACACCAGCAGCTGAGTCGGCCCTGCCTAAAGGCAGGTTCAAGGGATTGTAGATGGGACGGTCCTGGCCGGCGCACCCTGGTTCCGGACCCAAAGGAGCCAGAACGTCTCAGCCCCATTCTACATCTCAGCGCTAAACATCAGCATGGATGCAAAAGGACATGAATAAGAATTGGCCTAAGCCAAAGAGATGCGCTATATCTCTGTCCATCTGTTCCTCCAATCCAAACAAAGGCAGAAGCGAGATTGCAAGTCAGCATTGAACCTCCGCTCCATGCAAGTTTCAGCACGGTCTAGGCTGATCTGTCGTGGAAGAACAAAAGTCGAGGGATTAAATGGACCTTCTATCAACTTGCATGGTAACGAGATACATATACAGTATACATGTAGTCCCTCTTTCGATGCAGTGGATCAACAAGAAATGCTTGGCAACCATAACGAGGGGTTGCAATGGTAGATTGAAAGCGAACGCAAATTCCAGACTATATATTGTATATTAAATAGTTTTTTCATAAGAATGATCTTCCCCGCAAAACGCGCTCCAAAAATGTCGGAACGGTTTCACTCCGTCATCAATGTCTTCACCCATGCCCATCTGATCGAATTCCCCTCCAAATCCCATCACTGTGTTCCTCGTCGTCACCATTGTTGGAGCCCATCTGATGGATCGAGGCAAAGCCGGTTTGCTGGGTGGAATGTTTTTCATGAGACTAAGTAAAATCCTCCGTGTTTGATGTCCAAGTCCAATATGCATCTGCAAAAGTTAGCAGTCTGAGGTTCAGATATCGCAGCCAAGCAACACAAAATGCAAGACAAAAAAAGATAATAGCAAAGGAGTCCAGAAACAACAAGAGAAAGGCTGGAGGCCTTGAGCAAATAAGCTTGGCAACTCCATCTCACCAATTCATCACTCCATTTATGTAAACCGCTGATGCTCTGCTACTGTTCCAGCCAAGCCACATCGGCCCCATCATCCTCCATGTCTTCATCCTCGGATTCATCCTTCTCCGCCTCCATCTCCTGCGCTGGTGGGACCAAGAAGACCCACTCAAAAGCAGGCCAGGGCCAGCCATGAACGTCCGACTCGATTACATTGCGAACATGTCCCACGAACCAAGCCACCACTTCTTCATCCGTGGTGTCTCTCACACCCCGGCATATATTACGCATGATAAGTTGGGCACCCACAAGAATCTCATAACATTTTTCGTTTTCCGGGCGGGTGTGCGTGTGTGGTGCCTCCAGGTTTTAAGGACACACATTCTGCAGAATGGCCTAGGTAGCATTTGTCCTAGGGGCAGGGCCGTGCAGGGCTTGTCTCTGAAGCTCTTCGCCCTCACTTCAAAAATGAAAATAATATGAGATCTTGAGTCTTGAGGTCCAATCTAAAAAGTCTCACCGTTTGGCAAAGTAATCAAATTCTAGTAAACATCAGGAATCACCTCTATCTTTGCTGGTCCATCAGGAACCTGCCAATTACACCACCGTAGAGCCCAAACAGGCGGGACAACAACGAAGCATTCCCAAGTCCACTTTTTGAGACATCAACAAGAAGGGAGACAAAAGGAAACAGAAGGGAGACAAGACGGACACAATGGCCAACAAGTAGGGAGACAAGAAGGCCAGCAAGAAGGGAGACAAGACCGGAGACTAAGTGAGACATAAGGGAGAAAAGGCGGACACAATGACCAACAAAGGGAAACAAGACCGGAGACAAAGGGAGACAGAAGGGAGACAAGTCGGACACAGTGACCAACAAGAAGGGAGACAAGAAGGCACACAAAAGGACACAGAAGGGAGACAAGACGGACACAGTGACCACCAAGAAGGCAGACAAGACCGGAGACAAAGGGAGACAGAAAGCAGCAGTGACAGACCTGGGAGACAAATGAATAGAAATGCTACATGGCCAACGGAAAAGGGCAGACACCAGCAGCGACAGACGTGGGAGACAAATGAATAGAAATGCTACATGGCCAACGAATAGAAATGCTACATGGCCAGCGGGAAAGGGCGGACACCACGAGTGACAGACCTGGGAGACAAATGAATAGAAAAATGCTACATGGCCAGCAAAAAAGGGACCTGGGAGACAAATGAATAGAAATGGTGCATCGCCAACGGAAAAGGGCGGACACCAGCAGCGACAGACCCGGGAGTTAAATGAATAGAAATGCTACATGGCCAGCGGAAAAGGGCGGACACCAGCAGTGACAGACCTGGAAGACAAATGAATAGAAATGCTACATGGCCAGCAGAAAAGGGCGGACACCAGCAGTGACACAAAGGGCGGACACATCTTAAGAAAGAATTGAGAACCCCTAACAGTAAACTGTTTGGGGAAAACACATATACAAAAATTGAGACTGTCGGAAGCCCCATCTGTGCCTCAACTGTCTGACTCTGCTTTTTCTGCAGATGCTGGATGGTCCTTGGACAAGGTGGTGCACCTGGGGTTCACTGAAACACCTTGGTGAGAAACTGGGGAACCATAGATGTTGCTCTTGAAAACTAGAAGATTGGAAGGGCCATATTTACTACAATTCTTTGACAGAAACCGAAAAAAATTGGGCAACTCCACCACATGTTCCTGCTGTATGCTGGAAAAATTCATGCAAAGGTCCACAAGCTCAGAACTACTACGCAAAAGAAACAAAGTCCAAGATCCTCCAGACCTGTACTGTAATGTCGATGTCTACAGAAGGCAAACCTTCATCTTAGAGTCTAATAAAACAAACAGCAGCCTACACCTTCACCTTGGCAGGTTAGACGGGAAGGAGCAAATGCAACCTGTCGAAATGCGGGAACCGTTTCGTTCAGATATCGATCTTCAGTTTCTCCTGACCTCGGGAAGAAAGAGTTCTGGAAGAACTTGGCTCTCCGTACTACGTATATAGCTAGCACTTGGCACTACTTTGAAGTCTGCCCAACCCCGTTACAACGGTTTTTTAGTCCTCCGGTCCTCCGTCCTTTGTGCAAGCGCTCCACAAGGCCCCGGCTCGTTGATGGCGTCGCTCAGCAAGTCGTGCCACTTGGCCGCCCTACTCTCAAGGCACGCGATGCGGCGGTCCTCCATTGGAGACACGGGATTGCAAACCATTGGCATCATTGGCAGTTGGAGCATCAGCTGCTTTAGAGTCAATCTTTAAAATCCTGGCGCGCACCATGCGTCTTGGCCCTCCAAACTAGCCGACCAGGCCTCCTCTTCTGTCAGTTCAGTCAGTTTTTTCTGCTCGTCCAAAGCCAGGTTTTGCCTGGCTTCAAGAGTTCAACATGATGTAATTTGATGACCTTCAGAACTCTGTTAAAGGTCCCGGTTTTTGCCCCATACATGTGGGCGCAATCAACTAAAATTAACCGCTGGTTCGTGAGCTGCCCTATTTTTGAAGGTGCTATGACCCCTCAAGTTACCTGCTCAACTTGCTTCACACTTTCAATAACCTGCTGGTCGGGGAATGAATGGAGGATCAAATCCCATGAGCTTTCCACCACTGCGACCAACCTTTTTCCAAGTTTCGGAGCAGGACTACAGTGTGACACCATCGCACCACGAAGCACAAAGAGGGCGCGGTTTTCACGGTCCACCATAATGCGGTCAGATGGCAGAAAAAGCCAGCGATGGGATGAAGCCCTTGGATAAAAAGTTGTCCTTTAGACGTCTGCACTGCAATCCAACTGCAGATCATTAGAGTTCACTGACACTTGGTAGTTTGAAGGGTTTCAGGTCAGCCATGCAATGAAGCTATGAAACCCTCGCTTCTGCCAAACAGACATTGTGAACAAAAGAAGGAACACTTTCTCCATGTCCACGTCGCAGGAAAAACGACCTCTGTAGATGAACCAAGCCTTCCGAAGTGCGTGGTCGCTAGCCAAAACATGTCCTGAGTTCCTCGCAAACATCCTCAACGCTGATTTGTTGAAGGTGGTTGAATTGCTGTTGCGAGCATATCTCAAAAGCTGATAAACCACACGAGGAAGGGCCGGCAGGGCATGTATACGGTATACGCGCATTACACGCACTTGAGAGAGGAGGGGTGAACGAAAGGTAGCAGGCAATCACAAGTAGCCTTGGTAGAAGTCCATGACGGCGTCAAAGGTAGATGGATGTGACCGGGCGGAGGGGGGAAAGGACCCGGGGGGGGGCCCCCCCCACGAACAGAATCATTACTTACAGGACCAAACTCAATGCACAATCCCAACACCAGATTACAATACATTTTTGCTAAAGCAAGGAGAACTCAGGTAGCTCAAGCTACCTTTCGTGACTTGGGCGTAAGTGCCCCAACTGGGACAACGCCAGACGCCATCAGTAGCATTATTACCCAGTACTGCCATTTGCACTGAGCGTTTACGATAGCTTGACTCTTGATTGTATATCCTCCAAAACGTTGAACCTTGTGGTTTCTGCAACTAAAGTCGACTGCCGCCCAAAGTCGATACAACAGGCTGCCAAGATTCCTGCCACGTCTGGGTTCCAGCGTCAAGACCTACCAATGAACATCCCAGATGTAGCAATCCCTTTTCTACTACGACTACGACTCATCGTTAGCCGGAAAGCGCGCGCAAAGCCAAGTCGTCACAGCCCCACCGCCGCGCAACCCACCACTTGCACCGAAGCGCAATCCTCACGGCGCTGGACATACAAACGTCTCTTGCAGCCAAGGAAAACCCACGCCGATTGGCCAATCCGTCATTGCACATCTCAGGCTGCCTCTAGTGGCTTCTGAATCTTCTCATGGCAGAACCTGCGTATCCGCCGCAGAGGAGCCTCTCCACAAAGCTTTGCGAAGCCTATCTAAAAAATGGGTCACGTCCTCGAAATGGGTCACCTACTTTGTTCAGTTCGTTGAGGCGAACAACTTACTCACCACAGCTTCGCCTCAGAAAGATCCTGGAGAGGCTCTTGTTCCAGGGTCGCTTGAACAACCTCGTTGAGGAAGAGGAATTTACTCAATTTACTCTCTACGTTCTCACAGTTTTCAAGACGTGATTTGTATGATACCTGCTCATATAGCGATACCACATTAGCCGTCATGACCGGTCCATAGCAGCTATAGCCGCACCTCTGGAAACCTCAGCACTTGGTTGCCTCCTACCAGGATCTGCTGACATCCAAGGTGGATGCGCACACCCTTTGTTGCCGTCTTGGCTGCCAGACAGAAATGTTCACTTGAGAGGAGGGAGACACGAAAGGTAGGACAGCGGGAAGAGAAGAGAACGCGAGAGGCAGGAACAAAAATGCAATGTTCGACATGGTGATTTATCCCCTCGGAGGCGACCTTTCGTAAATATATGTTCATATGCACTCTAAATGTTCAAACATATGCTCTCGAAATGTTCAAAAAG